ACCAGCTCCTGGTTTCGTTGTTGTGTTCTACTGTTCTTTTGGTTTCTACTTCATTGATTTCTGCTCCGATCTTTATTATTTCTCTTCTCCTGCTGGGTTTAGGCTTTTTTTTGCTGTTCTTTCTCCAGCTCCTTTAGGTGTAGGGTTAGGTTGTGTATTTGAGACCTTTCTTGTTTCTTGAGAAAGGCTTGTATTGGTACATGCTTTCCTCTTAGGACTGCCTTTGCTGCATCCCAAAGTTTTTGAATAGTTGTGTTATCTTTTTCATTTGTTTCCATGAATTTTTTTAATTCTTTAATTTCCTGGTTGACCCCTTCATTCTTTAGGAGGATGCTCTTTAGCCTCCATGTATTTGAGTTCTTTCTGACTTTCCTCTTGTGATTGAGTTCTAGTTTCAAAGCATTGTGGTCTGAAAATATGCAGGGAATGATCCTAGTCTTTTCGTACCAGTTGAGACCTGATTTATGACCTAGGATGTGATCTATTCTGGAGAATGTTTCATGGGCACTAGAGAAGAATGTGTATTCTGTTGCTTTGGGATGGAATATTCTGAATATATCTGGGAAGTCCATTTGGTCCAGTGTGTCATTTAAAGTCTTTATTTCCTTATTGATCTTTTGCTTAGATGATCTGTCCATTTCAGTGAGGGGGATGTTAAAGTCCCCCACTATTATTGTATTGTTGTCAATGTGTTTCTTTGCTTTTGTTATTAATTGCCTTATATAATTGGCTGCTCCCATGTTAGGGGCATAGATATTTACAATTGTTAGATCTTCTTGTTGGATAGACCCTTTAAGTAGGATATAGTGTCCTTCCTCATCTCTTATTACAGTCTTTGGTTTAAAATCTAATTTGTCTGATATAAGGATTGCCACCCCAGCTTTCTTTTGGTGTCCATTAATTAGCATGGTAAATGGTTTTCCACCCCCTCACTTTCAATCTGGGGGTGTCTTTGGGTCTAAGATGAGTATCTTGCAGACAGCATATTGACAGGTCTTGTTTTTTAATCCAATCTGATAGTCTGTGTCTTTTGATTGGGGCATTTAGTCCATTTACATTCAGGGTAACTATTAAAAGATATGAATTTAGTGCCATTGTATTGCCTGTAAGGTGACTGTTACCATATATTGTCTGTGTTCCTTTTTGGTCTATGTTGCTTTTGGGCTCTTAGGACCCCTTTCAAGATTTCTTGTAGGGCTGGTTTTGTGTTTGCAAATTCCTTTAGTTTTTGTTTGTCCTGGAAGCTTTTTATCTCTCCATTTTCTTTTTCTTTTTTTTCTTTTTTAAGATTTTACTTATTTATTTGACAAAGAGAGACAGTGAGAGAGGGAACACAAGCAGGGGGAGTGGGAGAGGGAGAAGCAGGCTTCCCACTGAGCAGGGAGCACGATGTGGGGCTCAATCCCACGACCCCGGGATCATGACCTGAGCTGAAGGCAGACGCTTAACGACTGAGCCACCCAGGCGCCCCTCTCCTTCTATTTTCAATAACAGCCTAGCTGGATATAATATTCTTGGCTGCATATTTTTCTCCTTTAGTGCTCTGAATATATCAGGCCAGTCCTTTCTGGCCTTCCAGGTCTCTGTGGATAGGTCTACTGCCAATCTAATGTTTCTAACCACTGTAGGTTACAGATCTCTTCTCCCGAGCTGCTTTCAGGATTTTCTGTTTGTCTCTGAGACTTGTAAGTTTTACTATTAGATGTCGGTGTGTTGCCCTATTTTTATTGATTTTGAGGGGGGTTCTCTGTGCCTCCTGGATTTTGATGCCTGTTTCCTTCCCCAAATTAGGGAAATTCTCTGCTATAAATTGCCTTCAGTATACCTTCTGCCCCTCTCTCTCTTCTTCTGGAATCCCAATTATTCTAATATTGTTTCATCTTAGGGTATCACTTATCTCTTGAATTCTGCCCTCGTGATCCAGTATTGTTTATCTCTCTTTTTCTCAGCTTCTTTATTTTCCATCATTTGGTCTTCTGTATCACTAATTCTCTCTTCTGCCTCATTTATCATAGCAGTTACAGCCTCCATTTTTTTTTAAATTTTATTCTTATGTTAATCCCCATACATTACATCATTAGTTTTAGATGAAGTGTTCCATGATTCATTGTTTGTGCACAACACCCAGTGCTCCATGCAGAATGTGCCCTCCTCAATACCCACCACCAGGCTAACCCATCCTCCCACCCCCCTCCCCTCTAGAACCCTCAGTTTGTTTTTCAGAGTCCATCGTCTCTCATGGTTCGTCTACCCCTCCGATTTCCCCCGCTTCATTCTTCCCCTCCTGCTACCTTCTTCTTCTTCTTCTTTTTTTTTTTTTCTTAACATATATTGCATTATTTGTTTCAGAGGTACAGATCTGAGATTCAACAGTCTTGCACAATTCACAGCGCTTACCAGAGCACACACCCTCCCCAGTGTCCATCACCCAGTCACCCCATCCCTCCCACCCCACCCCCCACTCCAACAACACTCAGTTTGTTTCCTGCGATTAAGAATTCCTCATATCAGTGAGATCATATGATACATGTCTTTCTCTGTTTGACGTATTTCACTCAACATGATACCCTCCAGTTCCATCCACGTTGTTGCAAATGGCAAGATCTCATTCCTTTTGATGACAGCCTCCATTTTTTATTGCACCTCATTAATAGCCTTTTTGATTTTGACTTGGTTAGATTTTAGTTCTTTTATTTCTCCAGAAAGGGTTTCTCTGATATCGTCCATGCTTTTTTCAAGCCCAGCTAGTAGCTTTAAAATCTCTGAACTCTCATTCTGACATCGTACTAATGTCTGTATTGAGTAGGTCCCTGGCAGTCGGTACTGCCTCTTGTTCTTTTTTTTTTAGGTGATTTTTTCCATCTTGTTATTTTGTCCAGAGGAGAATAGATGAATGAGAGAACCAAATGCTAACAGTAGCAACGACCCCAGAAAAATATACTCTAAACAAATCAGAAGAGACCTGAAACCAGGGGAAAAGAAAGGGAAAGAAAGAAGAAAAAGATTAAAAAAAAAAAACCAGAAACATAATATGATCAAATATGATAAAAAAAAATATGATCAGGCTGGTGCATAGATCAGTGCCACACACTGGATTTTGGGCATATTTTGGTCTATTAGAAGAAAGTGCCTCCCAAAACTTTAAAGAAAAACTTATGTATGTACAAAAATAAGGGTAAATACGATGAAGGGATGGAATATGACTGTAAAGATGAAAATTATAAAAGATTTTATAAAAGGAATTGATAAGAAGTTGGTTGAAAAAAGAAATAAGAGGATTAAAAAAAAAGGGAGAGAATGTGATCAGGCAGGAGACTAGAACAAAGCCATACACAAGAGATCTAGGGTATAGTTTGGTCTGTTAGAAGAAACTGTATCCCAAAATTTTAAAGAGAGAACAACATATATATATATATATATATACACCAAAAATAAGGTTAACTACTATGAAGGGATAGAATATGACTCTAAAAATGGAAAATAAAAAAGGTTTTTTAAAAAAGCATTGATAAGAATTTGGTCGAAAAAGGGAAAAAGAAAATTAAAAAAATTAACTTTGAAAGACTAAAGAATCATGGTAAAAAAACCATGGATTGGGCGCCTGAGTGGCTCAGTCGTTAAGCGTCTGCCTTCGGCTCAGGTCATGATCCCAGGGTCCTGGGATCGAGTCCCACATCGGGCTCCCTGCTCGGCGGGAAGCCTGCTCTCCCTCTCCCACTCCCACTGCTTGTGTTCCTGCTCTCGCTCTCTGTCTCTGTCAAATAAATAAATAAAATCTTTAAAAAAAAAAAAAAAGCCATGGATTCTATGTGCAGTATTCCCCTAGTGCTGGAGTTCTGCCATTCTCATTGATCAATAAACTTGGTTTTGGCTGGCTGTTCTTGCTGATCTTCTGGGGGAGGGGCCTGTTGCTGTGGTTCCCAAATGCCTTTGCCGGAGGCGGAATTGCTCCGCCCTTGCCCGGTCGCACTAAGTAATCTGGTCGGGTTTGCTCTTGGGGGCTTTTGTTCCCTGCAAGCTTTTGGTGCAGCTTTGGATGATGAGAGTGAAAATGGTGGCCTCCCAATCTCCACCCCGGAGGAGCTGAGAACTCAGGGCCCGCTCATCAGTGAGCCCCAGAGAAAAGCAGTCAGTCACTCCGTCTCCCCCATCTCCTGTGATGGAGCATTTCTATCTCTCACACACGACCCCATGTGGAGTCTCCAAACCCAGCAGATCCCTGTGGTGCGCTCCCGTGTTGCTCCTCCCAGGGGAGGAAGGGGAGTCTCCCTGGATCTGCCGCTTGTTGGGTCCCTGCTGGAAGAGCAGTGGCCCGACTATGCCGCGGATCACGGTTTATGGCAACCTGGGGCTGAGAGCCCACTCCTTGGCTCCATCTCTGCAGCCAGCTTCCCCACTCTGGTACCTGGGAGGTCTACTGCACTCAGGCCCCCCCCCCCGTCTTTCTGTGACCCCGAGGGTCCTGAGACCACACTGTCCCAGCGAGGGTTCCACCCTCCACTTAGCCACTGGAGCAACATCCCTTAGCAAAGCCGACTTCTAAAAGTTCCGATTTTGTGCTCTGCTGCTCTATCACTTGCCAGTAGCAGCTGATGGAGGCCCCCTCCTCCAACGTCTATCCTCCCGAATAATGCCTCGGATTCACTTCTCCCCACGTCCTACCTTCCAGAAGTGGTCGCTTTTCTGTTCAGAGAGTTGCTGCTATTCTTTTCTTCAATCTCCTGTTGAGTTTGTAGGTGTCCAGAATGGTTTGATCCCTGTCTTGCTGAATTCCTAGGACAAGACGAAATTTAGGTCTCCTACTCCTTCGCCATCTTGCTCCTCCCCTCCTCCCTAACATATATTTTAAATATTTATTTGTTATGTGCTTTTGTAAAAATATGTGAAAGCCTCAAATAATAAGCAAAAATCCTGTAAATTCTAGAATTTAAAAAAGTGCTTGAAATATGAACAGCTATTTTTATTTTTATTAACATCTTAATTTCCTTTCTGTTTTAAAGCCCAACCTGAATTCCTGAAACAGCCTACTAATATATATGCTCACGAATCAATGGATATTGTATTTGAATGTGAAGTGACTGGGAAACCAACTCCAACTGTGAAGTGGGTCAAGAATGGGGATATGGTTATTCCAAGTGATTACTTTAAGATTGTAGTAAGTATTTTTCAAAGGACACTTATCTCCCAAACCTTTAAATGTCTTTAAATGTAATCACTGAGAGATCTGTTGTCTTATATATACTAGTTTATGTACTGCAGATGAAGATAGGAAAATACACATAGAATGTAATCTTTTCATTAGCTGACGAGAAAGCTAAGCCTAGATGTATTTTGGTATATAAGATCAAATAGCAAGTCAGTAGTTGAACTAAGTGTAACGTCCGTATCTCCTGACCAACAGTCTGGTATTCCAACTCAAACATGCTAGTACTCTTACTAAACACAGTTGTCACTATTTTCTCGGTAATGATTATGCTGTGTGTGCACCAGTTGTCTTCATAGCTCTCCACTCAAAGAACAGAAATCTGTCCTTCATATACTGATGCCCAGGCCTTTCAAAAGAAGTATGACCCAGGGTTGGACGATTGTGATGATAGATAAAAAGATTCTTAAGAAGTAAATAGCATTAAATGTATTTAAGAATACTCAGCCATTATTGCTTTTTATTTGATATATGGTTAAATGCTTAGTAAATATTGTCTACAATTATTATTATCATTATCTAAATCCTAGTAATAAAATTATCTAAGTTTTGGTAATAAGGATTAATATATTAAGGTGTATACATGGCATTCATAGAAATAATCAGAAGTAATTATGGTTGTTACTGATGTAATGTCTTATAAATTTTTCATATAAGTAATTCATTCTTAGTAGGAATATATTTTCTATTTTGAAATGCATAATCTCATATGTTACAAAAAGTAATTCACAAGTATATTTAATTAAAAAGCAATGTGTTACAGCTAAATGAGCATTTTTACTCTTTTATCAGTTTCATATTATTCTTAAAAATCTTAAAACCGTATTAAATTAATAACAATATTTGACATTTATATACTTCTTTGTAATTTAAGGGAAGCTTGTATTTGTGCATTCTCATTTAACTTATTGTAGTCTAATCTGTTAGAACTAATGATATTAGAGATAATTTTAAGAAAATGCCTTGAATTCACAAATTCAGACTTTTACTATAGTCACATGGTATTGTATGTCAGATATTTTTCCAACCAAACGTGTAGGTCTGCGAACACTCTGGATATTACTTTCCATAAGGATTATGTTCTTAATTAGTTACCGTGTTTCCTGTTCTAGTCAGTTAAATCAGTACCTTGTCAATAAAATTGAGTTAACAGGTACATAGATAATATTTAGTAGCTGAATCATACAATTTTACTTATTTTTTCTCCCCAGAAGGAGTATATCCTTGAGATTTTGAACTAATGTTCCTCAGTCAAATCATAAAATTTTATTTATGTTTTTCTTTCTCAGAAGGAACATAATCTTCAAGTTTTGGGTCTGGTGAAATCAGATGAAGGGTTCTATCAATGCATTGCTGAGAATGATGTTGGAAATGCACAAGCTGGAGCCCAACTGATAATCCTTGAACATGGTAAGAGGGGCTGAAATAGTAAAATGAAAGAGGCTGTGTTTGAGGAACTAGTATCTATCACAGTACCTATTACTCTAGGATACCTCATGATTAATAACCCATTTCTAAAGACCAGTATATGGCATAGCTAAGAGGAAAAGAAAGCAGTCTAAAAATTTCCTACTGCTTAAAATGACCTAGAAACACAATTTTGGATAATATTGAAAAGAACTGAACAACTACAGTCTTACACACATGAATGTTCTTTATATTTCAGTCACTTTAATCTCACAAATATATTTCTGCACTATTAAAATAGAAAAACTTATGGGTGCCTGGGTGGCTCAGTTGGTTAAGCGACTGCCTTCGGCTCAGGTCATGATCCTGGAGTCCCTGGATCAAGTCCCGCATCGGGCTCCCTGCTCGGCAGGGAGCCTGCTTCTCCCTCTGACCCTCCCCCCTCTCATGTGCTCTCTCTCTCTCATTCTCTCTGTCTCAAATAAATAAATAAAATCTTTAAAAAAAAAAAAATAGAAAAACTTTAAGTACTTTTTATTTTGCATTGAGCTTTTCCAAAATAAAAATAACATGCCTTTTCTAATTATGACACATACAAAAGATGCTTATTATAAATTCAGACAACATTGAAAAGTAAAAAAGGGGGAAAAAGCCCTGGCCTTTATCAGTCATTCACTTCTGGGAAAACCACACAATAATTTGAGCAGATAATCCTGACTATAAAGAACTATTAACTATAACAGAATTAGAGTAACAAGGGGTGGGCTGGCAAGAAGTAAAAACAACTCTAGTGAATATAAGAATGGCAGATATAAAGAGCAGTCACAAGTTGTAGGTCTGAGAGAGAGTGTTAAGCTCCTCGGGACTGAGATCCAGACTGTGTTGGAGAGAGTGTGGCCATGTTTTACTGCACAACAGAGAAGTTGCTCTGCTGTTGAACCCTGCTCAAAACCCAGGGTCTGGTGTGCTAGGCAGCCAGTCACAAGGAGGTGTCTCCCTGAAGGCATTCTGCTACAAAACCACCTGAGGGGTTGGGGTGTTGGGAGAAGCTGCTCTCCAGCTGATAAAATTTGAAACATATGTCCTCTGCAAAGAAAAGGATAGATAAAGGGCTCATCTTCATTTTTGCAGAGCAGGCAATGAAGGATGAATTTGGAATTGAGGGGCAATAAATTGATAATGGCACATGCGCCAGATCCTGTGTTCTAGGAGTACTGCATATGAACATGCACAGATGTGTATATGGTTTGATAACGCATTTTCTTGGAACAACATGCTGTGAACAACTTCTCATGTCAATAAATATATAGATCTGTATCAACATTTTCCATCGTTGAACAGTTTATTTGCACTTTGTTTTGTGTAAGTAATTCCCTATTGGTTAACTTTTAAATTGTTTCCTTTGTTTTGCTATTATGAACAATGCTATGCTGAACTTCCTTATATGATTATTTTCTCATACTAAATTACTAGAAGTTGAATTGTTGGGTAATCTGTGTCAAATTGATAAGGATACCTGTTGGATGTATTATTTATTTGTTTTAGCAAGAAGAGCATTTTTCATTTTGTGAAGTTCTCAAGAATATATGAAAAAGATAATGCTTTAGACATGTAGTCTGGTGTCTGAGTCAGATTAAGTTCAGGTTCCAGTTTGGCCCCAGCTATATAGTCTCACTGCAGAAGGTAATTGGTAAAGATAGTGCCTACTCTGGCTTTTCACTAAAGTAGCATACCGGATTTTTATAAGCTCTTTCTTGAAAATGTATTTGAGAGTAGTATTATAAAAAGGAATAAAATACTAGAGCTGCTCTTTTTTCTTCCTGTGTGTGATTATACCTTTCCCTATTTATTGAAAAGGATTAATAGAAACTTGTCCTTTTCCATCTTGGCAAATGCCTGAGTATGATTGCCAAATCAGGCACTAAGGTAGATAAGCTATTTCTTTTTATTAGTGGCAGTGATCTTCCTTGGTAAAATTTGTGGATCTCTTGGGGTGATTTACATGGAACTAAATAAAGGAATTTCAGTATATCTATGTATGGAGTTACCATTATAGGTTTAACTCTAATAGCATAAATGGTTGGCTATGCCAGGAGGTCTCTAAACTAATCCTAATTGGGTTTTCCTCTGAAAATGTTTGGATAGCATAATTATAGTTGCAGTGTGTGTTTTTTCCTTTTTGAGACAACAGACATTTTTGGGCTGGCAGAAGTTTTTAGTAACCTTGTCAGGGATGGATTATAAGAAAGACTCATGTTACTAATTTTGCTGTTTTAATTTGCAAGATAAATAATTATGTGGGAAAGCTAAAAGAGAATATAGCAATTTATAAGGTCTGATCTCTGTTTTTTTGGAGTTTATAATATTATAAAGGATGTAAGAGATGTGTACAATTTAATAGCCAGTCCATAATAAGTGTTATTTTTATAATACAAATAAAGCAGCATATAATTTGGAAGAGAGGAATTCTCTCTGTGTGATCAGGGGAGCTTTTTCATAGAAAATGTCCCCTTTGTAATAGACCTTGAATTATAAGATTTCCAGGTGTTAAAAAGAGGGTTTGGGTCAGTATGGAAATAGAACACTTGTATTCCTTTAGGAAGTTAGCCTGTGAAGGCAGAATAGGATCAGACTGATCATGGCCTTGATTGTAAAGAGTCAAATACAATACTGTAGTGAGGCAGTCTGATATAAAGTCAGGTTTAATTAGAAGAAGTTCATTTGAGGGGCACCTGGGTGGCTCAGTTAAATGTCCAACTCTTGGTTTCAGCTTAGATCATGATTTCAGGGTCATGAGATCAAGCCCCACGTTGGATTCCACAGAGTCTGCTTGAGATTCCCTCTCCCTGTGCCCCTCCCCCTGCTTGTGCATACCCTTGCTTTCAAATAAATACAAAATCTAAAAAAAAAGTCCATCTGAATTAAAATGAAAATTAAAAGCCAAAAAATAGAAAATAAAAATACAATCATTCCACACACAAAAAAAGGAGAAGAAGGCAGATTGGAGGAGGCAGCTAGTTGAAGGAATATTGTTAGAAGAGGCCATTGTGAGATAAGTAGTTATACTAGAAAAATAGAAAGGATTCTAATAAGATATTTATAATTTTATAAATATATTTATATATATATATTTATATATATAAATATATTTATAAATATATTTATAAATATAATATTTATAATTGACTGATTGAATATTCAACATTGTTATAGAGAAGTCAGGGATATTTCCCAGGTTTTCTCTGGGTGACTGGAAGAGTTGTGATGCCTTTCCAAAACAGAAAAGGAAGGTGAATCAAAGTGGAAGGGGGACTTCTACTCAGCATGTAAAGAGTGGCACATAATATCCCATTCTTATCTACAATAACAAGCTGGATGATCTACAAAATCATAATTTCTCTGAGCCCATCAGAGAGCTCAGCTTGCAAAGCAGCCAAGTAACCTAAATTCCAAAGAATTGCACACCCCATTGCCCCCATAGAATGGGTCATTAATTCTTTGACCTTTGGCAGAGCATGAGAGAAAGAAATTGCTTCCATAAAAGTGGATAAGAAGAAATTGACTGGGGCACCTGGGTGGCTCAGTCATTAGGCGTCTGCCTTCGGCTAGGGTCATGATCCCAGGGTCCTGGGATTGAGCCCCACATCAGGCTCTCTGCTCTGCAGGAAGCCTGCTTCTCCCTCTCCCACTCCCCCTGCCTGTGTTCCCTCTCACACTGTGTCTCTCTCTGTCAAATAAATAAATAAAATATTAAAAAAAAAAGACATCGAAAAAGTTTTAATTGTTAAAGACTCAGTATGAACTACTTTGGAGTACCTGAGGGCCCCAGATGAAAGGGGAGTTCATACATGCTTGCAAATACATTTCCCTGGAACTCCACAGGGAGCAAGGCAGAGACCTGAGAAGTCATTTTGGTGGTGAAGAGGTGAAAGAGGTAATCTGTGGCACCTGGGAGATAGGTGCAAGGCCCCTCTCATTTACTCAGATTCCTTTAAGCCTCAAACCAGTGAGGGAGGGGCAAAAAGCCTTATTTCATAAATTTCTGGGGGGAGATTAGAAGCAAAACCTTTCTGCTTCTGCAGGCAGGAATCCTTTGGTGCACAGGGCCTACCTAATACTGAGGCTGGACAGGGACAACTGAAAATCCTACTTGCCCTACCACCAAGTAACAGACAAAAGCTTTCTACGGCTGGGGGAAGGTCAAGAATATAGAGAAATCCATGGGTGTTACACTTAACTAATGAATCATTGAACACTACATCAGAAACTAATTATGAACTATACAGTGACTAACTGAGCATTAAAAAAAAGAAGAATATAGAGAAATCCCTATGTGGTAGAGGTATGCAGAAATGGTTGAAAGCTGAGAGGAAAACAGGTAAATTGAGAAAAACTCTCCAGCTCTTCATCTCTCTTCTTTTGCACAAGATAATGGTAGGTCCACCATTAGAAGAATTTGAAAACTGTGGTGTGCTAAAGGTAACTAAAACAACAGTAAAATCTGTACCAAGCTCAGTTCCTTTCTAAGTTGACTTAACCTGTCCACACTAATGGCTTGACAGAATATACATGCTGTGTTCCAAGTATAAATAATAATTATCTCAGTCTCTGCAATTCTGTACACCATGCCTAGCATTCAGTCAAAAATTATTGGACATAAACAGAGCAAGGGAAAACTGGCACATTGTTGAGGGATCAACAGAAAGGAGACCCAGATATTGGAACTATCAGGGACTTTAAACTAATTATTATTGGTATGTTAAAGGATTTAGTGGAAAAAGTAGATAACTTGAATGAACCAGAGGAGGAATTTTGGCAGAAAGATGGAAACCATAAAGAATTTGAAGATACTTCTATTTGTCCAGAGAGTGAAAGGGTTCTATAACTGAGGAAGGGAAATTAGAAAAAACAATGGTATCAGAGATGAAATACTTACTCAGGGTGATCAGTAGACTCAACACAGCTGAGGAAAGAGCGATCAACTTGAAGATAGTTCAGTATAAATTATTTAAACTGAAATAAAAGATAAAGAGAGGTCAAACAGAATATCTTAAGATGGGAAAATAAAAGATGGTATAACATAAATAAATTGGTGTCTCACAAAGAAAAGAGAACAAGAACAGAACAGGAAAAAATATTTAAATAGATAATGGCCAAAGTTTTTTAAAAATAAACAAGATCATATTACGGGTCAAAGAAGAAGAAGCTCAGACAGTCCCAAGTACGCTAATAATAATAATAATAATAGGGAGTAGTAATAAAAGAAAACACACCTATACACATCATAGTTAAACTACTGAAAACCAGGGGCACCTGGGTGGCTCAGTTGGTTAAGCATCTGCCTTCAGCTCAGCCCATGATCCTGGGGTCCTGGGATTGAGCCCCGTGTCAGGCTCCCTGCTCAGTGGGGAATCTGCTTGTCCCTCTTCCTCTGCCCCACCCTCCCCCCCCAGTCGTGCTCTCTCAGTCTCACTCTCTCTCAAATAAATAAATAAAATCTTAAAAAAATATAAACTATTGAAAACCAAACATAATGAAGAAGTCTTGAAGACAGCCAGAAAATTTTAACAAGACACAGGGGACTTTTTCCTTTCCGTGCCGCACAGTGGCAGGATGGTGGTAAAGATTTCTAAGAAGAGGAAGTTTGTCACCAGTGGCATCTTCAAAGCTGAACTGCACGAGTTTCTGACTTGGGGGCTAACTACTCTGGAGTGGACGTCCAAGTTACACTAACCAGGACTGAAATCATTAACTTAGCCACCAGGATGCAGAATGTTCTTGCTGAGGAGGGCTGGCTAATCCAGGAATTGACCGCTGTGGTTCAGAAGAGGTTTGACTTCCCTGAGGGCAATGTGGAGCTTTATGCTGAAAAGGTGGCCACAAGAGGTCTGTGTGCTATTATCCGGGCAGAGTCTCTTGCTACAAACTCCTAGGAAGCCTTGCTGTGTAGAGGGCCTGCCGTGGTGTGGTGTGCTGTGGTCCATCATGGAGAGTGGGGCAAAGGCTGTGAGGTCATGGTGTCTGGGAAACTCTAACGTCAGAGGGTTAAATCCATGAAGCTTGTGGATGGCCTGATGATTCACAGTGGGGACCCTGTTAACTATTATGTTGACACTACCGTGTACCATATGCTGCTCAGACGGGGTGTGCTGAGCATCAAAATGAAGATCATGCTTCCCCAGGATCCAAGTGGTAAGACTGGCCCTAAGAAGCCCCCACCTGACCATGTGAGCGTTGTGGAACCCAAAGATGAGATATTGTCCACCACCCCCATCTTGGAACAGAAGAGTGGGAAGCCACAGCCAGACCCACAGTCTCCTTGGCAGCTGGATCTGGAGTCTGGCTATTACTCTGTGAAGACCCTTAATAAAATCTTTGAAAAAGACACATGGCCTGAACAGATTGTACATTCACTATTTGAACTGAGGATTCTATTGCCCAAAGGGAACATGACTTCATTTATTCTTAGGGCTGCCTGGCTCATGATACTCCTGTGTTTTCCCTGAAATCCTTGGTTTCAACTGTGATTGTGAGGCAAGACCCAGAATAGGAGGACCTACGCAAAGTTAACCAGAGGGATATCCTGTGGGGAGGTAACTGTGGCAATGGTGAAGGCTGATTGCTAACAGGACAGCACCTTGATTAATTCACTGCAGTTTGGGTTTATAGGTTTAGAGAGGGACATATTTAAAATGGTTTTCTTTACTTCATGTATAAGGAAATCTGTATTGCACATAGACAATAAATATAATGCTCATTAAAAAAAACCAAAAAAACACAGAGGAACAAAGATAAAAAATTACAGCTGACATTTTACCAGAAATGGTGCAAGCCAGAAGACAGTGGAGCGGCACTTTTAAAGTCCTAAGAGGGGGGGGGAAAAAAAGTCAACCCAAATAATATACCTAGCAAATATATCTTTCAAAAATGAACGTGAAATAGCTTTTCAGAACAAAAGCTGAGAAAATTCATTGTCAGCAGACCTGTGCTATACGAAAGTTAAAGTTCTTTAGGCAAAAGTACTTGACAGAAACTTGCAGGGTTTTCAAAAGGAAACAAACAGGCCAGAATGGTTTAAAAACAAAAAAATAAATATAAAATTCTCTTATTTTCATCACTTTAAGAGGTAATTTCCTATCTAAACAGGAGAGCACCAACCTTTTCAGCAAAGGGCTAGACAGTAAATATATTAGATTTTGTGGGCCAGTATCTGTCACAGCCACTCAACTCTGCCCTTGTAGCGTCAGATCAGCCATATTATAAATCAAACTACCTTGACTTCCTGGAAAACTTTATTTGCAAATAAGAGGTGGCATGTCCTTGTTTGCTGATCTCTGACCTAGAAAAATCGTTTATAGCATATAAATTTAAAATATGACAAAACGGAGTGAAGTTTTTAGCAAAAACTTTTTTAGCAAGAAATTACTGTAGAATTGAAAATAGTTTATAACAAATATAATAGAAAAAATATAAAGTATCAATATAGTAGTTTCTAGTACATAAGTATAATAGAAAAATATATATAAAAATATTAAATAGAAAAATAGCTTATAACCTATAAAATTAAAATATATGACAAAGCAGTGAAGTTTATAACAAAAACTTTTTTTAACAAAAAAATTACAGTAGAATTGAAAATAAACTTGAGATCCTTATATCGCATATCAGATCATAATATATGAAGTAGACTGTGATCATTTAAAAATGCCTATCATAAAACTTAGGGGACCTACTAAAAAGTGGAGAAAGATTTGGCTAATAAGTCAATAGTGGAAATACAGTGGAATCTTAAGAATTAATCAATCTAAAAGAAGTAAGGAAAAGAGAAAAAGGAAAAAATAAATGGGACAAATAAAAACGAGCAAGACAGTAAATTTGAATCTATATCAATTATTGCATTAAATATAAATCCTTTAGGGCTTAAAACAAGTCTCAAAACATTTAATAGCATTAAAATCATTCAAAGTATATTCTTTGACTTCAGTGGCATTAAACTAAAACTCAATAACAGATACTGGAAAATCCTCAAATATTTGGGAATTAAACAGCCTTCTAAATAATACATGGGTCAAAGAACAAGTCACAGGAAATTAGAAGCTATTTTGAACTGAATGAAAATGAAAATACAACTTATCAAAATTTGTGGAATGCAGTTAACATAGTGTTTTGAAGGAAACTTTTATTTATTTATTATTATTATTTTTTAGATTTTTTTATCCTAGAGAGAGAGCATGAGTGGGAGGGGCAGAGGGAGAGGGAGAGAGAATCCCAAGCAGACTCTGTGCTGAGCACAGTGCCCAGTCTCACAACCCTGAGATCAGGACCTGAACCAAAACAGTTGGATGCTTAACCAACTGCACCACCCAGGCACCTCTTGAAGGAAGCTTTTAAAAGCTAGATAAAAAGAGCAAATTAAATCTAGAGCATTCAGAAGAAAATGATAAAAGAAATAAATGAAATGGAAAACAAAGTAAATGAAACCAAGGGTGGTCCTTTGAAAAGATCAATTTAATTGGAATGTGTTTAACCACTCCAATCAAGAAAAACAAAATTACCAATATCAAGAATGAAAAATCCTATACGAATCCTATAGACTTTAAGAGGATATAAGGGAATATTAAGAGCAACTTTATGCCAATAAGTTTAAAAAGAAGGTAATAGAGCTGGTTTGTTCAGGATGTAAAGCATCAGTTTAAGATGTGTTGGGTTTAGGTTATAATAGAAAACTAGGTAAAAATGTCTAGAATCAGAGGGCAGTTCATGTCAGACGATCAGGAAAGAGGTTGAAGAAGAGAACAACAGGCTTTGGTTTTGATAAATTTTAAGAGTTTTAACCAAACTCTTATTACAAATTAAGGCAGCTAAGTATTTTATTTTCTTATATGTAGAGAATATTGTGTTCCCAGTTTTTATGTGGTAGTCTTTTACAGTATTGTAAATTAAAACTCCTTAACTCTCTCTTTAGTAAATGGAGTTATAAGGGATCATATATTATCTAGTCTTACTTCTCTGCCTTCATACGATTGTCTTAGCTAGAGTTCATCCTTGCATATTGTCTTGAAGATCTGCATGTATACCATTGCTATAATCTTTAGATAAACTTTGTACCATGTGTTTTTTTTTCTAATGATCAAAAAATTCATTCTTGTTTCTGTCTTAAACCACCACAGTTTTCTATGGACTTACATCTCAACCTCTTATTTTATATACTTAAAGATAGCATTTATTCCCTTACTGTTTTTTCCTTCTTATCATTTCCAGGTATTTAAATTATTTCTAATAGAACCTCTTCTATTCTGCTGATTCTAAAAAAATCTCTTTAATCTCTTTCTTGTGCACATCATTTAAAAAATATGGTGGCTTGGGCGACTGGGTGGCTCAGTTGGTTAAGCGACTGCCTTTGGCTCAGGTCGTGATCCTGGAGTCCCAGGATCGAGTCCCACATCGGACTCCCTGTTCAGGGGGGGGTCTGCTTCTCCCTCTGACCCTCTTCCCTCTCGTGCTCTCTGTCTCTCATTCTCTCTCTCTCAAATAAATAAATTAATTAATTTTAAAAAAAATAAAAAATAAAAAATATGGTGGCCTATAGGAAGCTGGGAAAAGAAACTTAAATGCACTTTATAATATTTGAATGTATGAAAAAGTGAAATCACAAATCAGTGTGGATTGAAAGATTCCTACATTACATGATATGTGGACAATTGGTGATTTGTAAAGAATTAAATTATGTATTTACCTTGTGTCAAAATAAAATATAGAGTTAAAATTTTAATTGAATCCTTAAAAATGTTGAAAGATGGCAGAAGAGTCTTGCCACTTGCTTTTACATATAAAAGAAGTAAGAATACAGATGGAAAGTTGGTATTTTAGCGTATAAAAATGTAATTCATCTGTATATAAGTTATGAGAACTACTCTAAAGAGACAAGGTAGGGAAGAAATTTAATATTCTGAGTATATAAGAGTGCATACAAATGGATATGATAAAATAATTAACATAAACATACAGTTCACAATAGAGCAAAGGTAATTTCTAAACATGGCAAATGTTCCACTTCACAATCAAAGATGTAAGATTAAGTCAGTGAGATGTCATTTTTGCCTAATGAAGATTTTATCTTTTAATGAACATTACATTATAATGGTTGGCTAGGGTGTGGTTAGGGTTGTGCCTTTCTGTCACTCAGTGAAAATATAAACTGTTACATCATTTACTAAAACCATTTTGACAATCATATTTTAAAAATTACCAACTCAACCCATTAATTGTTTTTTTAGGAATTTTTTCCTAAGGAAGAAATCAAAGATTTGGACAAAGACTGGTTTATATCAGCATTTGTAATTTAAAAAGAAAAAAATAGGGATAAATAGAGAAAGAATAGGAAAGGACTTGTCCCCAAATAGAGGAGGTAGTTAAAATAATTATAGTACAACATTGTGATGGAAAAGTTACTTGGCCATTAAAAAACCACTTCTCTGAACACTCTTTAATGGTATCAGAAAAAATCTTAGGGTATAATGTCAAGTAGAGAAGTAAAATACAAAACTATATATACCAAATAATCTGAACTTAGTTTAAAAAATTATATACACACATTTAGACATTCCCATACCAAAATGTTAACAGTGGTTATCTTTGGTTACTAATATTTTTTCAATTTTCTAAAATAACCATATATTCCTTTTATGATCAGTAAAGGTTTTTTCATAACTTAATACGAAAGCTACCTTTCAGTGCTGAAATTTAGAAAATATACCAAACACATAATTTTGAGACTTCCTGCCAAAAACATCATAGATGGAAGAATTACAAACACTTCCCTTCATAAGAGTTGGGTTGCATTGCAGGAAGTAAACAGCAATTTCCAGTAGACCTCACTCCTGCCCCTGATTTGGTAGGACAAGTCCAAGAGGCTTGAGCAGCCTGAAGGAGGAAGGATAGAAACTGGCCTACTTTGAGCCGCTTTCCCTTTGCATTCATTACCATTTTGAATCTCCAAGAGTAAAGTAGAATGTGTGTATATAGCATTCCCAGATCTGTTTGACCATGGAACTTTTGTCTTTTTTTAAGTAGACCCATTACAATCTTAAAGAGCACAATTTGGGAAGCATTGATGTAGAGATATTCAAAGGAGGGTGGACAAAATAGAGGTTGGCAAACAGTGGCCTTAGGCCAAGGCCAGCCAGCCTCCTGTTTTTGTAAGTAAAGTTTTATTGAGACACAGCCACACTTGTTTACTGATTGTCTGTGTCTGGTCTGTAGTTGTTTTCACACTGTACTAGCAGAGATGAGTAGTTTAGACAGAGATCATATGACCCACAAGCCTGAAATATTTACTCTGGCCCTTTACAGAAGGAGCTTGCCAAACACTGGCATAAATGATAGGAATCTTTCAGCCCTGATAGTTTGTGATTCTAAGTTATTTCTGGTCAGTGGAAGTCTGTTTCAGGTAAAAGTTTTTAAATGAAAAAAAGTTGGGAGTAGGTGGAAAAAGGCAGAAGAAGGGCAGGAGAGTCACAAATACAAGAATAACAGAAGAAAGTCAGACTTGGTGTGTGAATAACTAGGAAATACGCAATGGTGACTGACTCCAAGGAGGAATTGTTTACAGAACTGCAAACCACAGAGAGTTTGCTAGCACATCTTTGTGGCTGATATCTGAGAGACATTTAAGTGCTAGAAACACCGTGGAGTAAATTTACTGAAAGTGGAGGGCGCCTGGGTGGCTCAGTTGGTTAAGCGACTGCCTTCGGCTCAGGTCATGATCCTGGAGTCCCAGGATCAAGTCCCGCATCGGGCTCCCTGCTCAGCAGGGAGTCTGCTTCTCCCTCTGACCCTCCACCCTCTCATGCTGTCTCTCTGTCATTCTCTCTCTCTCAATAAATAAATAAAAATCTTTAAAAAAAAAAAAAATTCACTGAAAGTGGAAAGAGGGGCGCCTGGGTGGCTCAGTCGGTTAAGCCTCCAAGACTCTTGGTTTCATCTCAGGTCATGATCTCAGGGTCGTGAAATCGAGCCCCAAGTCGGGTTCTATGCTCAGTATGGAGTCTGCTCGTCCCTCTCCCTCCTCCTTTGCCCCTGCCCTGGCTCATGCGTGTGGGCTCTCTCGCTTTCTCTCTCAAATAAATAAAATCTTAAAAGGGGGTGGGGGGAGAAATCTCTTGTGATGGTGTTTACCTTCATGCATCTGGTTTAAAAATAATATCAAAAGTATTTGAGCATCTTTGAGACCAAGTCTTATTTCTGTAGAGGGAATTTTCTGATTCCTACTGGGTACTGGCTATAATATTGGCCATCTGCCTGCTGGCTAGTGCTTGGTTGCAAGAAGGTACTTCGGAGCACCCACAATTGGCCTGTGATATAATTTGGACAGCATAGTTTTTAAGTTAATTATCACCTTTGAATGTAAAATGAAATTTTTTAATTATAGTTAAAATATATAAGACACTAAGAACAGGGTCTTATATAAGCAACAACACTAGGAAGCAAAATTTCTAATTGGAAAGTAGAATTCGAGAATGAGTATGTTTCAAACATACTTTCTTTTTATTCCTCCAGCTTTATTGAGATATAATCCACATTTAACATTGTGTAAATTTAAGGTGTACATATTGTAAAATGTTTAACACAGTAAGGTTTTCTACCTCACATAATCAGCATTTTGTTATTGTTATGGGAAGAACATGGTGAGTTCAACTCTCCTACAACTTTTAGTTACATGGTATAGTATTGTTTACGAGAGTCGCATTCCATCCCTAGACCTTATTCCTTCCTAAATGGAGGTTTATACCCTTATGGTTAAACCATCTCCCTATTTCCCTCACCCTTCAGTCCCTGGTAATCGTTACTCTACTCTGTTTCTAGGAGTTCAGTGTCAAACATAACTTTCTTTTATTTAAAATGCTATTTTTAATATTTTTTTATTTTTAATTTTTAATATTTACTTTTATGCATTTCTAGGAACAGCAGCTCTTGATTTTAGAAGATCTTGTAGTTTTAAAAACATTTAATCATAACTATTTTTATTTGCTGCCAGTTAAATTAATATTATCTGTCATTTTGTGCTCAAATACTTTATCTTATCATTGTCTACTGAATGATTTTTTTTTTAAGTATTGGCATTATAAATTACTGCAGTTAAGAGTAGTAAGAATTGGGGTGCCTGGGTGGCTCAGTCGTTAAGTGTCTGCCTTCGGCTTAGGTCATGATCCCAGGGTCCTGGGATCGAGCACCGCGTCGGGCTCCCTGCTCAGTAGGAAGCCTGCTTCTCCCTCTCCCACTCCCCCTGCTTGTGTTCCCTCTCTCACTGTGTCTGTCAAATAAATAAATAAATAATCTTTAAAAAAAAAGAGTAGTAAGAATTAAGTAAAATGTGTTTTGTCCATTAACTTTTTAAAGCCTTTCTTCCTGTCACTTTGAATTTAAAAATAGATTCCAGAATTATCTTGTAAGATTTAAATTCAAAAACACAAGAGTTTTTTTTCTTTGTACATTCATTCATAGCAAGGCTGATACTTGGCAGTTTTTTAGTTCCAATAAGGGAAGATGGGTTGGTGAAAAGTGAGTAACATGAATTTGTTTTTAGTAAAGGAAATTCATACTTTACCAACTCATTAAATGACTTCTAGGATATTATGGCCATGAGAGATAAGGATACATATTGAGCTTTACTTTTTTTTTTTGACAGAAATATTTCCAAAAAAATTCCATATAGTATCTAAGGTAAATATTGAATAATAGAAGTTCTGGAATAAGTGACTAATGACCTGGCATGATTAAATGTTGGCTAGATAGTAGGAAATCATTAGTCATTAGTGGAATATTTTAAGTCTGAAACACTAGGATGTATGATAGTTGGTGTTGATTTTATTTTATTTTTTGAATATTGATTTTAATCAAAGGATAAATTCTAATCAGTTATTTTGCTTTTTTATAGCAGTAATTATAACTTAAAGAAAAGTTTTAACTCAAGACAGCTATGATGAAATTTGACTTCTTAATTGTGAATTCCATGGCTAGGAACTTTCCGTGATTGAAAATGCATCTAATGTCAATGCCTGGGTTCTGATTCTTGTCTGCCATTAACTTGCTGAGTGATTGGTTCAGGTATTGAAATTCTCTGATTTTTATTTTCTGCAAAATGAAGGGTTTAGATTATATGACTTCCTTATATTCTATTAAATGCAGCTGTTTTAGAAATATTATATGTATTAGGGGTACATGGGTGGCAGTCAGTTAAGTGTCTGCCTTATGCACAGGTTGTGATTCCATCCTGGGATCGAGCCCCAGGTCGGGCTCCCTGCTCAGTGGGGAGCCTACTTCTCCCTCTCCCTCTGGCCCCCACTCATGCTTGCTCTCTCTCTAGGGCTCTCTCTGTCAAAATAAATAAAATCTTTTTAAAAATTAAAAAAAAGAAATATATGCATTAAATATAAGATGAATTTCAGGACATTTTTTCTGTCTAGGTATTGAAATAGATACTGTTTGCAGAAAGTCGGGGCATTGCAGTTACTTGCCACAATATGTGTAGTGAAACAAACCTCATACTAAAGATCTGAATTACTGGCTTCATGTCCCAGCCCCACTATAGATGAGGTAGTTAATCTCTCTGAACATCATTTTCCTTATCTGTAAGTATAAACAGTAATCTCTGCACAGCACACCTCTGACAGGCAAATAGAATGCTAAAGTTGACCCTTGAACAACATGGAGATTAAGGGTGCTGACCTCCCTGCACAATCAAAAACCTGTGTATAATTTGATACCCCCAAAACTTAACTAGTAATAACCTATTGTTGGCTGGAAGCCTTTACCAGTAAGGTAAGCTGTCAATTAACACATATTTTATACGTTATATGTATTTTAGGCTATATTCTTAAAGTAAGCTAGAGCACAGAAACTGTTAAGAAAATAATAAGAGAAAATACACTTGCAGTACTGTACTGTATTTATCCAAAAAAAAAAAAAATTGTGCGTAAGTGGACCTGCACAGTTCAACCCATGTTGTTCAAGAGCCAACTGTATATGTAAAGCATTTTGTAAATTGTAAATACTCTGTAACTCTAAGGTAATAGTAATTTGAAGGAATGTACAAAGGCAAAGCTACTGACTGGGATTTTAGTAGTCAACATTAAATTCAAATGAAGATAAAAGGTTAACTTCACAAAGCAAGGTTTGAGAACTTTTTCAAGTAGACAACAGTAATCCATTTAATATTCAGTTAGAACATTTGGATTTGCAAAATAAGAAAAAAATCTTGTGTGACCAGATTGCAAGGCATCTGAAATGGTTTGCTTAAAACTAAACTTGCACAAAATAGTTTTAAATAAACATAATGCATGTTCATTGTCAAAAATAAGAATGTGTAATTGACTGAAATAAAACTGTACCTTTTAACCCTTCCCTTAATCTCACTTTCTAGAGATAGCCCTTGTTAACAACCCTTGTATTTATTCATTCAGTATTTGTTGAGAAAAATTCCATATGCTGTATGAAATTGTGTATTCATTGTGCTAAGTGGTGGGGATGAAATTGCCAACAAGCAGGCATGAGTCTCTGCCCTCATAGTGCTTATGTACTGTAAGCACATGCGGACATTGAGCAAGTAAATAAATAAATAAAATAATTATAGATTTTATGCCTACTTAAAGGAAATGAAAAGAATGCTCTGATAAAGAATTAATGAGGGTATATAGGGAGTTAAACAGGACAGAGAAGGCCTCTCTGATGGGATATGTCAGTTGAGACCCAAGCCTTAGAAGAAGCCGGTATGTGTGTATTTTATATACTCACACATACATAGACACACATGATGTATTACCTTTTTATTTGCAGAAGTGAAATCATATTTTTTGTGACTTTACTGAACAGTGTTTTATGGACATGGTGGTACTTACAGGTTTACCTTTTTTTCTTTTTTTACCTGCTCTGTTATCATCAGACTGGAATATGAGGAGACTTAGTTTTTGTGTTCTTGATGGCAGTGTAAATTTTTTTGAAATGCAGTTTAATAATTTAGAATTCATATTCAAATAACCCTATTTATATAAATTTATCTTGCATGTATAGCTACCAAGTATTTAAAGATATTTATGTTAGATGAGGGTAAACCTGGAGACAGTGTGGTCCATGCAATTAATAAGGGGGCTGATTAAATAACATGAATACAATGGAACACTTAGGTAGCTGTTAAAAAATAAGGTAGGTCTATGTAAGGTAAATACAGTAGATGTGGAAAAATATCTGAGTTATATTATTATTTAAGTTGCAGAAAAGTATATGTAGTCTGATTTCATTTGTAGAAGAGATAAGACAGAAGGATAAACAGTTGATCCTTCCAACAATACCTGTGAACGGGGGCTAGAGGCACCAACCTCCATGCAGTCAAAAACCTGCCTATAACTTTTGACTCCCTGGAAACTTTACTAATCCTGCAAACCATGAGATTACCTTTTACGGCAGTACACAATTTGCTGGAGAGGTGAACTGCTTATGCAGAGATGATTGGTGTCACACAGGGATGATTAGCTTCACACAGTGTTTTAAGTGGATACTTGCAACATCTTTGCTCACCACAGTGGCAACAAGAGGTGGCTACAAAATTATTACGGTAGCACAGTATGCACTACAGTTAATTTTATGAGTTACAATTTAATACTGTCTTTACATTTGCTTACATTTTTCTCAAATGCAAATGGCACCATGAATAGTCTGTGTGTGCATAAGTTTTGATAAATTTTAACTTCGTGTATTTTACGAGACCAGTGCTCTAACCCCTGAGCTACGGAGCCTACTTCGTGTATTTTAAATTTGTGTATGTTTTATGGTAGTAAATTATATAATAGACTAGTATTTACATATATGTTATATATTCATGACATACCTTTTTCTTAATTTTTTTGGATATTTCTAAGCTGTGAAGTTCCATCTGTGAATTTTTTCAAATTGTTGCAAATCTCCAAAAAAATTCTAATATATTTATTGAAAAAAAATCCACGTATTAAGTGAACTGTGCATTTCCAACCTGTGTTGTTCAAGGGTCTACTGTTGATGTATATGTGCTTGTATGTATAACAAAGTTTTATAAATCTACACAACAATCTGTTAATTGTGCTTATATCTGTGGAGTGAGGTTGAAAATGTCTGAAGGTGGCAAGGGAAGGACAAACAATGTATTGTAAACATTTGAAAAGCCAAATTTAAATTTTTATTTAAAATTTAAAAATTAAATTTGGAATATTGCAATCAGGTGTGTAGACATAGTGATTTTACTTTGTTAGGATAGTTTAAAACTTTTTGAGTTTTTATTTCTTGAAAACAAAATGCTATGGGAGAAAAATAAATAGGTTGCTTAGAGTATTTGGCAACTATCTCCAAATATTTTCTTATCTTCAAATATAATATCTTCTATTATAACATTTTTTTCCTGGAAGATGAATCATGTCATATAAGTGCTAAGACCGTGCTAAGACAGGTATAGTTTATTAATATATTAAAGCAAATTTGTTTTCTTAAACCAAGTATTTTATTGAGTATGTGTACTGTGTAAAAAGAGATTCCTAGTTACCTAGCAGAGACCCCTA